ATGCCATTTTGAAAATTAAATTGTAAAAAACTGTAATCATCTGCAAAATTCACTTTCTTGATCAGACAAATCCATGGAAATGCACATGCCACTCATGCAGCGGAATCACATTGCTGCATGGCTATTTCAGTACCTGGAATGTTCACCAACCATTACAAGAATGTTTTAACAGAAGAACAGAAACTTTAAAATGGACATAAGAACTAAACATTTAAAAGCAGTATGCCATTTTTTGCCTATGAAATCCAGAAGACCAACACCAAGATGTCCTCCAGTTCTGCCCGAGTACTTAGTGGACCGGACAGTGAAATGTGTCGTGACCCTTCCATCCTGACACTTCAATTTAGATTGTGTTCAAGCATCTGCAATTAGTACACCAGAGCTTAAAGAGCAGCTCAGAAGCAACTGTTGCCTCCTATGCTGGTGTTGGGAAAATGCAGGAACAAGGGTAACTGAAGCAGGTACTGTTAAGACTTTCTGTAATGACATAGTTTATGTAACCAATTCGACTTATCTAGTTTTTTTTGTTAGAAGCCATCACATCTGTAAGTACTCTTAAATTTGCAGCCTCTGAAGGAAAATGACAAGAGAACATCCTGAACACCAGCTCTCCCCTAAGCCAGCAAGATATCACCAGTCTGATCCAGTTCTTTTCAAATAGGGATACAATGCAAAGAGTGAGCATAAAACAAAATACATCAATCATCTTTTTGATTTTTTTGGAACACCTTGTTAACTGGATGAAAAAATTCTGAAGAACAGCTGAAAAGCAAATTTCTTAATCTCTTGAGAAAACAACAGGATCAAATACTTGCCAGATTCTGAGAAAGTTTTGTAAAAGACCAAAGCAAAGAAGAACTGAAAACATGTTCTTTTTTTATGTTCTTATGGCAGCACTAGGAAGCAGATGTGTCACCTTCTACTTCTAAACGTTTAAAAAAAAAAAAAAAAAAAAAAAAGATTTCCAGCTTGTACATCTCAACTGACTACGTATATCAAAAAGGGTTGATTATACTGAGACATACTCGGAGACCAACTATTCAATTGATTAGATTTATCAAAAAGTTCTTATTTGGAATGGCTTCCAATGTTGGAGTAAATATTTTTAAGTGTCAATAAAAAGGTGCAAATATGCCTCATAAAACAATCAATGTCTGGTTTGTGTATCGATTCTGAATTGTCAGCACTTAATGGCATTAGTGAAGAGTAAGTTAAATAACATATGGTAACTGATAAGCAAAGACAGACCATTTTGATAACAAAAATCTCATACACCTAAGCAAAATTGTCCTTTGGAAGAAGTATCCTTTCTGGAATAAATGGTCTCACAGCTAACCTTCCCATTCATTTCTTCAAAATAAGTAGGTCAAAAATATGTTTGAGGACAGAAGAAAACAAAAGCAAAAAAAAAAAAAAATCAAACACTACAAAATCACACAAGAGATCAAAATTATTCTTGGATGTAAGCAGCAATCTATTTCCGGAAACTGAAAAATAATGACAGTATATGCTACTATTCTTTCAGTAATACCATTTCACCAAGTACACTCAAGCGAGCATAAAGTTTAAAAGAATATTCAAGACAGTCCAATTTACTCTAGCTGCTTACTCAGTCTAAGGCAGAACTCTTAAATCTTAATTCTAAAATAAGGCATTTAAATGACGCCATTCAATTACCACAGAATCCGGATATAGTCTTTTGAGACTTTCCAGGATCTCTGCTTTCATTTGCTGACGCCTTCCTTCATGGTAATCAATTTTGGCATTCTGCAGTTCACCAACTATTTTGTTCAATTCTTCATTCACTTCAGCCATTCGTATCGTTGAACTTTCAATTTCCTTAGTTAGCGCTTCCACTTGCTGTTTTTTCTCTGTTAACGATTCACTTTGAACAGAAGCAAAAATAGGAAAGCAATTTACTACTTCATTTATACAAGCTTTTAGCTTATAAAATTAAAGCCATTCTGTGGTCACAGACTATGAAAATCATGAAAGATTTTAAGTATCTATAAGAAGCTACTTCTTATGCAAGTTGCATTCTATAGTATAAGCTATTTCTAAGGTTTCAAAATTGAGTTCGAGTGAGAGTTGTTGCTTGTCTAACACAACCATACCGCTTTATCCCTCATCAATAAAAGGCCTGATATTGTACTAAGAAGGACTGAGAATTCTCATGCAAAATTATTACTCACTTTACACACTTACCAAAATCACTAAGGCTTTACCACACTCCACTACAACTACCTAATTAAAAAAATTTTGCATCACACCAATCACAATGGGTCTGCTGCTCCCTGTCCATGGCAGAACTTTGTTCAGTACACAGACAGCATTAAGCCAAAGCACGCATTAGAGATGCATAGGAAAAGACAGGTTGGAAAAAAAATCTCTGGAGATCACCTACTCTGACCGCCTGCACAAAACACAGGCTAATGTTAAAGTTAGTTCAGGTTGCTCAATGAAGCGCTTATATATCTTATTTCACAAAGAGTAAAAATCAGATAGAAGACAAGACGCAGGAAGCAAGAACTGAGCTGTGCTCCTAATATACAACATAAGTATTAATGCTTTGTAGAGCAGCACAACTACAGAACTGCCCAGATCTTTTGCTCAGAATTTGTACACTAATAGCCCCATACCTTGCCTGTAGTGACATAATTTGCCCATCTACAAGAAATTAGAAGCAATTACGAAATGGATTTCAAACAAAATATGGATGAGTCATCATACTTCCTACTTTATTTTGACAGCTGAAGTTCTGAAATATTAATTAAAATTAGTAAGAATTCTAATTCTTATTTAAATTTTAAAGAATAGAAAAGAATTAGAAAGAATTAGAAACCTGCTACGTTAATTTGAAAACATGTAATATTCAAGAAATCCAATTAGCTTTTAATTTTTTAAACATACGTGCATATCTTGGCATATTCTTCCAACTTCTCTATTCTTTTTTTATGCTCTTCTATCTGTTCCACAATCTGTTTTATGTTTTCCTATGCAATCACAAATAGAATGTGTTAAAAACAAACTAGAGGAAAACAACAGTTTTATAGCAAGATACGAAGCTCTTAATTCAGAACAAGTACTGAGAGAAATCTTTTCTTCCTTGTTGGTATTTCATGCTGAAGTAATAGCATCTCTTTTTCAATACTAGATGCCAAACTGCACCATGAATAATAAAAGGAAATTATTTTATCAAGGCCATTACGAGATTTTTCATGTTTGGCTACAGTTCAGAGAAAGCCTCTTCAGCACAAAGAATCATGACACCATCAAATAAAACAACTTTAAACACAGTGTTAGTAAATTATAGGTGTTAAAACAAAAAAAGGTGCTTTTCTTGGCCCAAGATTAATAGAAGCTTTTTCCTAAAAAGGACACATGAAGAAGTTGACATAGAGGTTCCAACCTGACACAAAAGCATTGTATTAAAGAACAAACCAAACCAACAGTGAAACAAGTATTTTCAATTACTAAAATTGAATAAAAATACATTAAACTAAAGCAAGTGAAAGAAAAAAAAAATAGTTACCTACACATTTTTATTAAGCCTTAATTTAACTTCCAAAATCCTTGTGACCTTTTGAATAGCTCTAGGGATGGAGAGTCCACAACCTCTTTGTGCACCCGCTTCAATGCTTGACTGTCCTTGAGATGAAATAGTTTACCTAATAGCTATTCGGAATTTCCTGCATTCTGAGTTCTGCCTGTTGTCTCCCATCCTATCCCTGTGCACCTCTAGAAAGAGAGTGGTTCTATCTTACTCATACCCTCTCGTAAGGTAACTGCAGAAAGCAATAAGGCCTCCCCTTCACCTCTCCTCCAGGCTGAAGAGATGCAGTTCTCTCAGCCTCTCCTCATAAGCCAGGTGCTCCAGCCCAACCAGCTTGGTGGCTCTCTGCTGGACTCACTCCAGGATGCCAGTATCTTTCACAGCATCACAGAACGGTTGGGGCTGGAAGGGACCACTGGAGATTATCTAGTCCATCCCCCCTGCTAAAACAGGTTCACCTAGAGCAGGTTGCACAGGATTGTGTCCAGGTGGGTTTTGAATATCTCCAGAGAAGGAGGCTCTACAACCTCTCTGGGCAGCCTGTTCCAATGCTCTGTCACCCTCAAAGCAAAGAAGTTTTTCCTCATATTCAGAAGGAACTTCCTGTGTTTCAGTTTGTGCCCATGGCCTTCTTGGCCGCAAGGGCACATTGCTGGCTCATGGTTAACCTGCTGTCCACTGGGACTCCCCGCAGGTCCTTCCCCGCAGAGCTGCTTTCCAGCAGGTCAGCTCCTAACCTGTACTGGTGCATGGGGTTAATCCTCCCTAGGTGTAGGACCCTACGCTTGCCTTTCCTGAACTTCATTAGGTTCCTCTCCGCCCAACTCTCTATCCTGTCCAGGTCTCGCTGAATGGCAGCACAGCCTTCTGGTGTATCAGCCACTCCTCCTAGTTTTCTCTCATCAGCAAACTTGCTGAGGATACACTCTGTCCCTTCATCCAGGTCAGTGATGAATGAGTTGAACAAGACTGGACTCGGTACTGACCCCTGAGGAACACCGCTAGCTGCAGGCCTCCAGCTACACTCTGCGCTGCTTATCACAACCCTCTGAGCTCTGCCATTCAGACAGTTTTCAGTCCATCTCACTGTCCACTCATCTAACCCACATTTCCTGAGCTTACCTAGAAGGATGTTATGGGAGACAGCGTCAAAAGCCTTGCTGAAGTCAAGGTAGACAACATCTACTGCTCTCCCCTCACCTACCCAGCCAGTCATGCCATCATAGAAGGCTATCAGACTGGTCAAGCATGATTTCCCCTTGGCGAATTCATGTTGAGTATTCCTGATAACCTTCTTTTCCTCCACATGCTTAGAGATGACATCCAGAATGAGCTGCTCCATCACCTTTCCAGGGATGGAGGTGAGGCTGACTGGCCTGTAGTTTCCTGGGTCCTCCTTCTTGCCATTTTCTGAAGATTGGAGTGACACTGGCTTTCCTCCAGTCCTCAGGCACCTCTCCTGTTCTCCAGGACCTTTCAAAGATGATGGAGAGTGGCCTAACAGTAACATCTGCCAGCTCCCTCAGCACTCGTAGGTGCATTCCATGGGGGCCCATGGATTTGTGTGTGTCCAGTTTGCCTAAGTGATCCTCCTCAACCAAGGGAAAGCCTTCCTTTCTCCAGACTTTCTCTCCTGCCTCCAGGGTCTGGGATTCCTGAGGGCCGGCCTTAGCAGTAAAGACTGAAGCAAAGAAGGGATTCGGTAACTCCATCTTTTCTGTATCCTCCATCACCAGGGCACCCACCTCATTCAGCAGTGGGCCCGCATTTTCCCCAGTCTTCCTTTTGCTACTAGTGTACTTGAAGAAGCCCTTCTGGTTGTCCTTGACATCCCTTGCCGGATTTAATTCCAAGTGGACCTTAGCCTTCCTCACTGCACCCCTGCATACTCTGACAATGTTCTCATATTCCTCCCAAGTGGCCTGTCCCTTTTTCCACATGCTGTAAACTTCCTTCTTCCATTTGAGTTTTGCCAGAAGCTCCTTGCTCATCCATGCATGTCTCCTGCCACCTTTGCTTGATTTCTTACTCATAGGGATGCATCAATCTTGAACTCGGAGGAAGTGATGATTGAATATTAACCAGCTCTCTTGGACACCCCTACCTTTTAGAGCCCTAACCCATGGGGTTCCTCCAAATATGTCCTTGAAGAGGCCAAAATTAGCTCTGCTGATATCTAGGGTTGTAATCCTACTTATTGCCCTGCTTCCTCCACGCAGGATCCTGAACTCGACCATCTCACGGTCACTGCAGCCAAGGCTGCCCCCAACCTTCACATCCAGCCAGTCCCATCCCCAGCCAGTCCTCCTTTGTTTGTTAGTATAAGGTCCACCAGCACAGCTCTCCTTGTTGGCTCTTCCACCACCTGTGTCAAAAAGTTACCATCAATGCTCTGCAGGAACCTCTTGGGCTGTGTGCACCTAGCTGTGTTGTCTTTCCAGCAGATATCAGGGTGTTTGAAGTCCCCCATGAGAACCAGGGCCTGTGATCGTGAGGCTACTTTCAGCTGCCTGTAGAAGGCATCATTGACTTCCTCTTCCTGATCAGGTGGCCTGCATTAAACACCCACAACAGTGTCACCATGTTAGCCTGCCCCTTAATTCTTACCCGTAAGCTCTTGACTGGTTCTTCATCCACTCCTAGACAGAGCTCAATACATTCCAGTTGCCCTCTCACATAAAGGGCAACTCCACCACCTCACCTTGCTGGCCTGTCTTTCCTAAAAAGTACGTAGCCATCCATGACAGCATTCCATTTCTTGTACTGGGGAGCCCAGAACTGGGCAGAGTATGCTAGATATGGTCACATACATGCTGAATTGTGAGGAATGATCACCAAATGTCAATTGTACAGATAAGTAATGCCAACTCTGAGTGGTCAGACACGCAAGTATCCCTTATTTCCTTCTCAATAGTACAACGGGACTTGCAAAGTTTTAGAGGCACAAGCAATAGAATTTATTTCACTTCCAGATACTAACTAGGTTTTCCTGGTAACTAGTACTTCAAAAAGAAGTAGTATTGTATCAAGAGCAAATGAATGTACAAGTATTAACTTCGGTGTCATGGCAAGGATGACTTTACATCCTCATAGATACACAGTAAAATACAAGCTTTTCCATACAAGCAAGTTTATATGTACAAGAAGGAGGTGTTAGGAACTCTGGAACTGGTGAAGTCTCATCTGATGGATTTTTAAGTTAAGTTTTCTGAACATGAAGAGTCTCCTCTAAACTTTGACTCCATAACTAAATGGTGAAGAAATGCATGTTGCCTCTCCAGCTTCTTAGTAGGTGACAACACTGCAAGGTTAGCATAGTTTGGAAAAAAAAAAAAAAGTAAAAAACCAAAACACCTAATAGGGCAAGGCTTCTAGCAAAAGACAGGTCATCAGCTGAGCTTCTGTCCTTTCTACTTCTATGAGAAGCACCATGCAAAGTTGAACAATGAGTTGCGAAATAATTTTTCTAAAAGAGAGCATTAGGCATGGTGACCAAGTCATAGTGAAAAATGTAGGCATTTTATTATTACATATTTGGATCTGCAATGATAAAAGAAATCAGAAACAAAATGACAGCAACGATCTGTATTCACACCAAACAGCCCACCTCTGAAGTGCAATAAGAGAGTGGACACCAAGGAGATTTTTCCAACTACAGCACACCACTGACCTTAAAAACATCTCAGCAAAAAGGTATCTGTGATCAAAATGAACCTCTGAAGGGTGTGAGTATCATACAGATATACAACAGCTCTAGGACAGCTCAGAAAGAAAAGCCACACTGATAAAAAGAGGAACCGATTACAGTTAAGCATATGTTCTGAGTAACTGTAAAATATTAGAGCCAAAGCTTTCAAAACCAAATCCTCAGTGTGGGCCCACGCAACCATTCTCTGAACAAATTTAGAAGTCATTTTGCTAAACCTGTTGCAATATGAAAACTGAACTAACACTTGCAATCTATCTCCTTTGCTGAGGATTTGTTTATGTCAAAGCATTTACCACATTTATATAAACATTTATACCAGAGGGAGGAGAAGCATTTTTCTCCTTAAAACATAATTCTAGCTTGATACAAATACCTCAACTTCTTTTTTCTTCCTCCGATTAAGATTCAGCCTTTCTTGATCTGCTTTTTCCTCCCAACGAAGTTTTTCTAGCTGCTGGGTTAGTGTAGCCACTTTCTTTCTTGCTATTTCCTTTAGCTCTTTATAGCGCTCCAACTGGAGAAATAACATAAAAAAAAATTCACTTCACTGCAAGCGGAAAGACTCATGTTGTTACAGCCTCAATTAGTAATGGCTACTTTATCATAATTAAGATTACGAAAACCACCCAATTCTCCAGAAGACCTTTCTAGCTACTAATTGCATTATCAGAAGTTATATTTCATTAGAGAAAGATTCAACCCCAAACTTACACTTAATAGTTCTTGCCTACGGTCTTGTTTTCGACTTCTAACGACTTATTTTTCAGGAAAGTTTATAAAGTTTACAGTACTTCACAGTTAAGGTTAACACAAAGTTTTTGCACAGCCCAAAATTAGTGAAGTTTTGGTATTTATAATTACAGCATTCTCATGTTATCAGGTGTTTTTTTTAGGTGAACATCTAAAACAACTTTTTAAAGAATCCTGCAAAGTTATGACTAACTAAAGTCACTAACTAAAGTGCAGAGTAGGGAGATTCACAAACTAAAAGAACAATCCTGCAGGTTCTCCATTAATTGATCAGAAACTATTTTAAGGAAGAGACAAAGGAGAGAAGCTAGCACTTGGTTTTAAAAGTGTTTCTGGCCGTATGGTTGCAAAGATAGCTTCTTGAAATGTGAATTTACTGTAAAGCGATGTAGTCCTTTCCTTCTAAAACAACTTAAAATAGCTCACGAATGTGCCACCTCAGTTTTAGACTCTGACCCACAGTAGATGGTATATATACTATCAAGTCTTGTTTGCATTTTTGTTATCTTCTTGTTTTTTTCTAATTGAAGACATATTTCTGTACCTTAGTTGACAAGCCATTTCTCAATAATTACCCTCTCACCCTGACACCTTACTGGATATTTTCTATCCTACCCTCCCACAACATACGATGTGGACTTCCATGAAGAAGGGTGAAGAAAAAAAAACCAAAACAAAACCAAAATAACCCCACACAAACCAGAGAGAACAACCTAACCATGGATAATTAGATGTAGCTATAATCCTAATCCACAGATGACAGTCCCTGTGTACAACCCTTCTGAAGTTTCCATCAAACTCTTCTCAACTTCTTGTTCACTGAAAATTCACTGCTTCCTCTAATAAGGTATCTTCTCACATTGCTTAGAAGATGCACTTCACACCCTATGAGAGATGCTTACCGTTTCCAATCTCACAATGGTAAATTTCTAAATCTGTGTGCAACTTATATGTACTTCCTAGAAGTATTCCACATTTGGAACTTCTGTGAGATCTGACTTTCCCCTGCTGTCCCCCAGACAGGAGACAGCCCACTCCCCCAAGCGGCTGCATCATCATTTCTCTTCATCCAATGAAATGGTCTCTAAATAAAAGTTACAATTTTGTTTTTGTTTGAGCTCAAACAGCAGGAAGACCATTAGAAATTACAGGTTATTGGTGAAACAATGGTTTCTCTGTCATCAGTGGTGATTTTTGGACTTCACTAGTAAACAGTACTTTTTGGCCTCCAAATTCACCTGACTTTCTTCCAGCTCAATACGTGCTGCTCTCTGCAGTATCTCCTCTTCAGTTTTCTTTTCAAACGCTCTCCAGGCCTTCTCAATATCATTCAATTCTCTTTCTAGTTCTTTTATGCTCTGCTTTTCCTTATCACAGGATTTCTCCTTGTCCCTTAGAGATCTTTTAGACATTTCTACTTTCTTGATTTGGTAGGAAGTGTTTTCCTTTGCTTTTATATAGAGGGGTTTCTGCTGAATCAGTGATGCTTCCAGAGTCCTAAAAAAAAACCAAAAAAACAAAAAAACAAAAAAACCCCCAACCAACCAACCCCAAAACAAACAAACAAAAAACCCAACCAACCAGCAACCACAAAACACATCCAAAACAACAAAACCACACCAAAAGAAAAATAAACAAAAACCCCCACACAGAAGAACAAGCCCCTCCCAACCACACATGCAAACAACTAATCAGTTGTCAACTGCAAGGTGAAATACCCACAGGTGATCTTTCAATATCCACTGAAAACAAAAATTTAAGAAGTGAAGCATAACCTTCTAAAAAAATTTAATAGCAAACAAGTATTTATGTAATGAAATTACTGACAACCTGGGCATGGTGGTGGAGGTGAAATCAGTGTCTAGATATTACTTTAGGAAACTGCTACAAACTGACTTTCACAGCACTGGGATATCACCCAACTGCTTTAACAGGGCATGCACACCTGCCAAGCAATTCCCAGTGCAGACTACGCTTTAACTCAAATATCAGACAACCTGATTGAGAGACCTACTTCATTTCTCTTTCCATGTGCTGTTGGTCTCTGTTTAGTACACCAAGCACTTTTTTCTTGTCTCTAAATGCAACTTCTGCTGTAGAAAGAGTCTCTTTCTTGATACTGGCCTCCATATTCTTTTCATCTAAACTTTTTTTCAGAAAGTCAATGTTTTTTTCATTGTGATAAAGCCGGAAAAGCTGCAGTTGTATCCTTTCTTCATCCAGTTCCTTGAGAAGCATCTGGTAATGCTCTGCCTACCAACGTTAAAATTTTATTTATGGTTTATAAAAAGGATTTGTAATCACTAGCAGTCTAATTTCAAGTCCAAAATGATGTAAGATGATGTACTAGTAGCTATAATTCCAGTAACATGCACTAATCATAAAACTCAGACATGCAAGTCAAAACTTAATTTAATTACACTGGCAAACCTACACTTTCATTTACTTAGATTTTATTACATGTATTCCTCTATCCTTTTACATTATACTAAATTATTCTATATTATACCATACTGAAAAACATACTAGATGAAAAACAACATTTTTTTTTAAGAAAATGTGTATTTAAGTTCATAAAAGATGCAAAATTTGAGATCTTAACATGCAAAAAAGGAATAACTTTGAGTTACCTCCTCTTTCTCTATCTTTGCTTGTTTGCGTTCTGCTGCAACGCTTTTCTTCTTGTTATAATTAAACTGTGCATCCTCTTCTGCTTGCTGCATTTTCTTCTTTTTTCGTTCATAGTCTTCAGCGTATTCCCATGAATTACTGATTCGTTCAAAAAGTTGAGTTCTCTCCTTAGGCTTCTTCATTGCAATTGATTCTACTGTTCCCTAAAACAAAATTGAAAAAAAAAAAAACAAAAACACCCATGCAGCACTGTAGATCATTATGTTGTCTAATGATGAATTTCTTCTCTAAGAGCATATACTACAGATTTATCTCCTGATGTATATATGGTCAATAGAATTGGATGGAAATACTTTTAGATTCAAGGAAAAGTTTAGTACCAAAAGGAGTATCACCTAGCCACCTCACCTAATTAAGTGACATCACTAAAAACTTTAGAATGTCAGATACAGTCTACGAAAAACACCTTCAAACTAAATCAAACCTGCACAAATCAGTGAGCAGTATCAGAATGACAAAATTAAATCTTGTTAGCCCCTTTAAAGGAACTGAAACTCATTTTCAATGAAAAAAAAACCCCAAAACTAACACCCACCCCCCCATTTCAAAAGCAAAACAGCTGAAATCAGTGCACCAGAAGATTACGTAACTCCCAAAGTTAACCAGCACACAGTTTTTGTCTATGCATTAGCTGCTCAACTCTTCACCGATCTGAAGGAATTACCATTTTCAGTAAAATGTAGGAAATAAGGTTTGTGATCTTATTCTACTTGTATAGTGGGTAAATGCCCTCATCATAGAAACTATTATCACAATAAAAATCCATATATAGTGTTTCTATAAAAGGGAAAAAAAGAGTTCTTCCTTAGGAAGTTTCCTCAGCAACTGTAAGGAAGAAAATCCCGTGAAATATATTCTTCGTAAGTACATGACATTTCTGACCTATAGCATTAAATACGTGTGAACTAATAACCCAGTAGGATTTTCATCTCTCAATCTTAAAAAATCCTATAAATTTTCATGCATCTTGACTAATAGCAGTGTTTTAAGATCAAATTATCTTTTCCTATTTATAACTCCTAGAATTTAATACAAATGAATAGAGACCCACATTTTCTTATATACTCTGAATAACACCAGTACTCCATTTCTTCCAGATTAGCTTCCTTCTTACCAGTGCACTCATGTACACACAAAACCCATTATCTCCATCTTGCAGTCTTGTAATTCTTGGCCAAGGTCAGGAAAAAAATGTATTGGCTTGCAATGAGCTAAGAGTGCCCTCTTTTCTGTCAAATAGATAACTGTGTACTCCTGTAAAATAATCTCAGAAGCTTTTATTTTGTTTATGAAGTACCTTAAATGCTCACCTGAAAAATAAGACAATTCCTAGCTTTGACAAGTATGCCTACTTTTTCAAGCTCAGCTACGTAAGTAGATCGGCTGACAGATTTATCATTGAAAAAAAATTCAGAGCAACAGCCTAAAGGAGGAAAGAAAAAAAACAAACTATAAAATGGCTAAACCACAAAATCCACAGTAAAAGAACAAAACTAGTGGAACAATTTAACTGAGCAATTTCCTCAAAAAAGAAAATAGATCTCAATTATTCCCTTAGTCATTTCAATACTTTCATTTTTCTGTACAAAAATTCTAGTTGCATACTTCCAAAACATACTGACAGCTGCTTAAGTGCTTGTGCCTGCAGCAAGGTGTCAGACCCCATTTTCTAGAGCCTACACTATCTACATATTCCAAGTGAAAACCTACAGATCAAAGTTCAAAGCAAAGAGCATATATTAATCACTTGTTTAATTTTTAACTTTGCCTCAGTATGTTTCTTTCAATTATAACACTTGGCTATCAAAATGCTACTGAAGGACTATAAGAAGTATTGCAATAACCATGGGCTTAATCCACCCAAATACAAAAGAATATTCAGCACCTGAAATTCAAAGTTGAATATTCTCGGTCTCCATTTTTTATACATCTGACAACAGAAAGTACGTGCAACTGAATCTGCTACCTACCACGGATAACTCTTGAAAATGTTTTTTCTTCCCCATCTTCTTCACAATATATTATCTTCACGCTAGCTGTAGAAGAAACTGGTTTTCCAACATGTGCTCCATGAATAAGTTCTCGAACACTTTTAACTCGCAAATTAGATATCTTTTCACACATCACAAAACTAACAGCATCCATTATGTTAGATTTTCCTTAAAAAGAAAAAAAAAAAGAAAAAATTGCTTTGACATGGTAGAAATGGAGGCATTTGATTAACAATTAACTAAAAACATATACAGAAATGCAAAAATCTATTAATTCTATTTCTAATTCTAAAAGTATTGCACATTTCTAAGATGTAACACGTTGGCATCAGATAATAAGCCTGTCTGTAATAAAAATCATCACAAAACTAATTTGTTATTTGTTCAGCCTTGTTGAACAAATTTCTCTTACACAGCCATCTCTAGAGGACATTATCTAAACTGAGCAACCAACATCATAATCCTTACTTGGTAGTTTCCTCTATATAATGCAGTCAGTGAGGTTTGCTGCATAAGCACTCTATTGCATAACTAGAACTTTTCCACTAGAACTCCAGTGTTGTAAAGCACTCTCCCAGATCCATTCACCACAGCAAAATTCTCAGATCATACTTCTTAGACAAAAAATCTAATTGAATGCTCTTTTTGTTTTTCCACTTTAGTCTTGAGTGCTTCTGTTGACAGCTTAATTATTTTCTGCCTTCAACCTTGCTACTTCAGCAATATTTTGACTTATTCTCCAAAATACCATAAAAGGAACAATACTAGGTGGAAAATAGATAAATAAAAAACTCAATTCAGAGATTATACAATATTCACAATTTTTCCTCCCCAGATTCATCTATAAAATGTATTCAGATTTAACTGGAAGAGTACCTGGGTAAAGCATCCATAATTTCGAGACTTTTCAATATGCAACAGTGGGGATAGGATAATAAAGAATATGATAATAATGCTAAATAAAAGTTACATTCATAGATCTCACTTCAATTAGATAAGTGTAGAAACAACAGGATCTAAAAAGCTAAATAATAAACTAAATCATTAGCAGACGGAGGAAACTAAGACCAAATGCTAAGCCCATCCTTGGGGCTCTTTGTTAGGACAACCCTCACCTCTCATCGTATTGTTCTCTGGCAAATAGAAGATGAAATTCCATTTGCTGAAGGGAGCTTTCAGAAGAAGTTAATAAAATTTTAAAAAGTTCCAGCACCCACAGGATAACAATGGGGAGTCACATCTACAAACAAAGACTCTTGCAGGCTAAACTACGAAGCAGCTACCATCCTGCAAAGCTACTATCTCTTTCCCAGAGGCATTTACTCATATGGTGAAGACCACAGACTCGAATCAAGAAGCATTGCTACAGTTTACAACCCAGAGTAATTAAATAAAAATATCTTTATGTGACCTTAGTAAGCTAAGCTACAAACTGAAGTGGCAAAGGCAAGGTGTGCTGTTTGCAAACCACTTGTTCAACAAGGGCTGGAAAGAGAAGACAACTAGAAATGGAAATTCCTTCAACCACCCCACCTCTCTCCTTCCATGCTGCAAAAATCTATACTGTCATTAAAGAAGCAATGGCAGATCAGGAGCCACAAAGCCCTGTGACTCTACTCACTAGGCAAGCTATCACCATCCTCACCCATTCAGTGCAGCCATGCCAGCCCTGTTCCTGGGCCTGCACCACTAGTGTTTCCACCCCATCACGCCTGTGGTGTTCACAAAAAAAGACTTGTCGAAGACCCCAAAACTGAAATCTCAATCCTGATAGCTATAGTGGAGAAACAGAGCCAGCTGTCTGCTGAGCCACCCTCTGCCCCCAAACCTGCTACCTGATCCATTGGGCCCGATGATGCAGTTGAACCTCATGAAGGGGCCGATGACCTGATGCCCACGCCACGACTTGAAATCCTCCATCACGAGCAGCTTCAGGTAACCCATCCCTGCAGCTGTGGGCAAGGAGGAGCTGAGGCCGTTAGCCCACAAACTTCCCACTCCCTCACGAGACTTAAATAATCAACGCGTGTATTTTACTCGGTTGTTTTCCGGCGGAGGGAAAACCCCCTCCGCGCCCCGCGGCCTCTCCCCTCAGCAGGCGGCGGACCCCCCACACCCGGAGCCTGCAGCCACGCGGCCTCGTCACGTTGGGCGGCGAGGGCGCGCGCGCGGAGGGGGCGGGGGTAAACGGGGAAGAGGCGGGGCTCCCGTTCCCATCGCGACGCCGTGTGTTGTCGGTCTCTTGGCGGGCAGCTCTGCCGGCCGCGCAGCGCTCCTGCCCGTCGCCCGGGCAGCCCCGGCGGCCGGTTCCTTTCTTGGCGCCATGAGCAGGCTGGCGCTGCAGCGAGACCTGCAGGAGGCTGCCGCCCTGGAGCGGCGGCGGCAGCGGGAGCTGCAGCG